TCCCTCTGAATTCTAGCAATGGATGCTGTGAATTTGTATTAACAGCAGTGCTGTTTTGTGCAACTGTAGTGAAATTCTTTGCAAAAGAATACTAACACATCATGTCCTTTAGCAAAGGGGATCAGAGTTTCTAAATAACAACAGAGACTTGTCTTAGCAAATTGTTCCTGGGCTAATTGTAATGGAAGGATTTCAGCTTGGATGGAAATCATTGACACAAGTGACTGTCGATGCCAAAAGTTTACATGGTTTTAAAAAGCAATTAGACACAATTATGGAAGAAAAATCCATGAAAGGCAACTAAACACACAGCTAGCTCTGGTTCAGAAATTCCCCGAGCCATTGATTGCTGGAAGATGAGGAAGAGTCCTAGGGATGGATCACTGCACAGTTCTTCCCTAGGACTCTGCTACGGGGCACTGCCTGAAGAACACGCTGTTCTAGTCTGACCCAGTATGGCCTTTCTCATGGTGTCACGTTAAGATGTCTCAAGGCTCAGAGCCTTTAGGAAAAAAAGACAACAGTGAGAAAAAAATAATCTCCCTTCAGGTTAACAACTTGAAAGTTTTAGGGTTTCTGCATTAAAATCTTCCTTTGTATCTAGTTGTAATTCAGATCCTCTTGTCCCCATCAGCTTCCTTTGGAAAAGCACACACACCAGACTGCACTACTGTCACAGGCACATCAGTGCCTGCACTGCCCGCAGTTGAGTGAAGGCTTGCACAGCGGCTGGCAGTAGAGCACTCATTTTCAGTAGTTACTGGCCTAGACTTTGCTTATGCTACAAGATGCATTTTTATCAATGAGCATTTTTCTGCTGTGGGGCTGGATCACGATTGCTAAAGAGGAGAAGCTGGTTTCTCAGTTAAATTGAATAAAGAAATCTGGTGAAGCACACACAATACACTACTCTGACAAATAAAAAACCCATAGTTTACAACAGTGAAAAATTTGTTAATTTTGTGCAGAAGAGGCATGTCCTACCGTTGGTTAGAGCATGGTGCTATTAACACCAAGGTCATGGGTTTGATCCCTGTATAGGCCATTCACTTAAGAGTTGGACTCGATGATCCTTGTGGATCCCTTCGAATGCAGAATATTCCGTGATTCTGTAAGTATGACATCTTATAAGACTCCGAGAAACTTGAAGATTTCTCCACATGCTCTGATTTTTTTCACCCTGACCTTCTCTGGAGAGTGAACAGTGCCTGACTGGATGAGTCATCACTGGCACACTTGACAAACATCTCAAAACCGGGGTACAAATAGCTACTTTAAAATACCTAATACTTTAGCTATTTTTATGTAGATCTTAACAGACTGTTTACTAGCTGAATTTAGTTATTAAATTATTATTTTAATAAAGCTAATTTGTAAACTATGGGACACAAAATCCTGCCCTCAAAAAATAGTGAAAAACATTAGGGCAAGAAAAAAAAGCTAGCAGCAACAGCCACACAAGGTAGTTATTGGGTTTGGACTCGACTTTTTTTTTTGTTTTTGTTTTAATGGGGTATAGGAATGCACTGCTTTTTTCCATTTTTCTTTTGTGAAATGATTGGGACAATTTGATGTCCTGGAGTTTGGCAGACAGCACCTCAGTTCTTTCTGCTTATCATTATGTGGAATCACGTTGCCCAAAACTGTGGGTGGAAATAAATGAAGAAGTTGTGAAACGCAATGAACCAATGACTTTCTCCCAGTTTGAAACACATATGTTTCGGTTTTGTGAGTTTGTTGGAAATTTTTTTGCTAAAAGCACTCACATTAGTGACTACACTGAAAATACCAAAATAGTCGTCTCGCACCAACACCTCGCTCTGGGGACTCTCATGCTTTGGCACAACGTGGGACTCCAGCTTCACTGAATATCTTTAGTTTCTTTCTCTTCCTAATTGTAACAGTCATCTCTCCTCCTATTTGCAATAACTAATATCTCTATGACAGCCATTGCTTAGATGAGAAGGCAGCACTAGGAAAGCATTTAATGAACATTAATTGCTTCTTAATATGATTTAGCTGCTGGAAATAAGAAGGCTAAACTAGCTCCATGTGACCAGCAGCCCTACAGGCACCTCCACCAGACTCCTTTTGAGGTGTAATCCTGCCAACCTGGGGGGGGGGGCAGCAAGCTATTCATGGATGATACCCAAAGCTGCATTTTGCTTTTCCAAATTAGCAGCTAAGCAGGGCTATAAGAACTCAGCAACAAAGTCATGATGATACCACCTGGCTGATTAGTGATCTCTTCCTTCTGTGCAAGCCAGCAATTATCAATTCCCACTGACTTCAGAAGCTAATGGAAATCAGAGGATGGGGGATGCTAAGATGCAGCAGCTTCCAGCTGTGAGCAGGAGGATGAGATGGGACACAGTCTCTGTCTTTTCCTGTGTGGCATCTTTGGCACCTGTGCCTTGATCATTTTGACCTTCAACGTTACATTACCTGACCCCATGGCTTCTGACAGGACAACATCATGTAAGAGAAACTTGGTCTTTTTAATCCAGCATTCCTAAATTTGAATCCTGATTTACCATGAATTCTCATCTCTCCCTTTAGCAAGGTCACTTAACCTCTCTACAAAGCTGCTCTGCCAGGAAATTAAGGCTGGTAAAACTTAAAGATACTGTGACAATCAATCAATACATGTTTGTAAATTTGTTGGTAAACAACAAGCACCAAGTGCCAAGTCTAATTTAAACAGATGTGATTTATAATCTTCCCATTTTCTTTGCAAGAACTTTATATGACATAAAGATTAACCTTCTGATCTTGGAAAAAAAATCTTTACTGGTATTATAGACTAGTGTTGGCAGCAGACCTCTAACTTGAAATACGATGTCCTCACTGACATCACTAAATAACCCATGGATTAACTGACAGTGATACTTCAGGACTCATGGGAAAACCATATTGCAGAAGGAAATAACAGTGACAGAAAAAAAAAAATTGTTTTCTGGACTGTAATTCTTAGTCTTCTTTCATTCAGAGCTGAAACCGAACACCACTAGACTTTCTAAAATGAAAGATTTATTGTTTTACATAGAATACTTAATGGATATTATGAAATAGTTGATGCTATCTGTGGGTGGGCTGTCCACTAACATAAGTAGGAGCCTTCAAGTTTTACAGACGTAATGGTGAGATTGAAATTTCTAGTATCTGCTGATCAGTGAACACATAGGTACCTTGAAAAGCTTGACTGTTGGCCCCTACATGTTCATATACAATGCCACCTGGTCTTATAGGATAAGCCTGAAGCAAGCTTTTGGGAAATGGTGATGAAACATCTTCATGTTCAAGACATTTATGATTCACAACAATCACAAACTTTTTCAGGACTTCAGAAGTCTTTACACCGGCTTTGTTTTTCTATTACAACTAAGTACCTCAAAGCCAAGAAGACAACTGAGCTGTGCTCTCAGGAGGACTGTGCACTGAGCCAGACAGATGCCTGCTACCCCTACCAGCCAATGGCTTTTAGCTCCCTCCCACCAGCACCCACAGTACTGCTCACCAGTGTGCTAATGAATGCCCCCAAAAATCATCAGGTTTTTCCCTGCATACCCCATCACAGCTGGTGCTGTGTTCTTCCTCTGATGCATCGGAGGTATGCTCCTTCTGTCATATCTAACCACTCACAATATCAAGTCCATGTTCCTTTATTATTAATAAAGCTGTAGCAGTGCTCTTACTTTGATGCTTTCCAGCCACTGTTTGAGAACAGAAGAGCAGCAGCTCCAAGGCTTAAGGGAATGCTCACAGATACAGAAAACAGGAAGGACAGGGAAGAATCTGTAAAAACAAGGTGTCAGCTGGCTCATGACTGAACGGCTGCTGTAAGTCACAGCATCTCTACTACCCACTCTTTTAATAAAGGGGGCCTAGTTAATGGCACCTTGTCACCTTACTAGGTTTCTCATACCAAAGGCTGGCTCGTAAAAGCAACATTGATTGCACCACTAGGTAGAGAGATAAAAGCTTACTACTGAAACATTTCTTTACCAAAACCACTACAAATCATAGACTGGTAGTGTTTTGGGTTGGAAGGGACCTTAGAGATCATCTAGTTCCAAGCCCCTTGCACAGGCAGGAACACCTTCCTCTAGACCAGGTTGCTCAGAGCCCCATCCAACCTGGACTTGAACACTTCCAGGGATGGGGCATCCACAGCTTCTCTGGGCAACCTGTTCCAGTGCTTCAGTACCCTCATAGCAATGAATGTCTTCCTAATATCCAATCTAAATCTGCCCTCTTTTTGTTTAAAGTTGTTTCCCTTTGTCCTGTCACTATAGGCCCTTGTTAAAAAGTCCCTCTCCAGCTTTCTTGTAGGCCCCCTTCAGATACCAGAAGGCTGCAATGAGGTACCCCCAGAGCCTTCTCTTCTCCAGGCTGAAAAACCCCAACTCTCTCAGTCTGTCTCCATAACAGAGATGCTCCGGCCCTGCTCTAGTAACCTTCGTGGCCTCCTCTGGACTCGCTCCAACAGGTCCACCTCCTTCTTACCTTGGGGACCCTAGAGTACCCCAGGTGGGGTCACTTTTATACAATGCACGACAAGTAGCAGCGACTTCACCCCTACTGCCACAGGGCAGGCAGGGTTGGCTACCCTTGCCGGGTAAGCCCCGCACGCTGCTCCCGCCGCCGCCCGCACGGCGCCCCCTTCCCCTATTAAAGTTCGGGCAGCTTCAACTCCCTCGCACTGCTGGACGAGCGCCCCTCAGCCTTCGCTACCGACAACCGCCCTGATCGCCGCTCCAAAGGCCGCCCCGGTCCTGCTCTCACGCCCCGTAGCTCCCTGAGCCAGGGCAGTGCCGGGCGGGCAGGGCCCCGAGCGGCGGCCGCGGTGTGAGGCGCGGGGGGGGCCGATGGCGGCGGCGCAGGGCTGCGGGCGAGGGGCGGAGCGCAGAGACCCTGTGGCTGCCATGGCCGCCTCCCCCTCCCCGCAGCCTCCCTTAAATACTATGGGACGGCCGTAGCTGCGGTCGGTGCCGCTGCCGAGCGCACCATGCGGGCTGTCATCGCCTTGGCCGCGGCGCTGGGCAGCCTGCTGCTGGGCGGCTGTCTCCTGCGCCTCGGCGGCCAGCAGCCCCTCCGCGCCAGGTAGGGCGGCCGAGGGGGGCCTCGCCCCCGCTCCGGAGCCGGCCGGGAGGGCGGGAGGAGCGGGATGAGCCCCGCGGGGCGCGGCGGAGCCCGGCGCGGTGCCCCGGCGCGGGCGGTGCTGGGCTCGGGCGTTCGCGGCGTGCGAGCGGGTCGCGGGGAGGACAGCGGCGCCGGTCGCGCCGGGTGATGTTCCATCGCTGGTTCTGACAACTTTGTTTTCCCGTCTCGCTTGCCAGGGGCTGGCAGGAGGAGGAGGCAGGAGTAGCTGCTGTCACGCCGAAAGTGGTGCGAGCCCTCAGATCCCCACTGACGCCCCTTCCTCAGACCGAGAACAGGTACGGGCTGCCCGCCCGCAGGTGGGTCCATGAGGACGGGTCTGCAGAAGCAGAAATTCACCTTCGCTGCAGTTTATTCTTCCTTTTGTTTTGGCAGCTTAATCAGAGAGAGCGTTAGAGGTTATTAGAGAAAATGACGATTTGCTTTGTAATGAATTATTTGCTCATGGGCCCTCTTAATGACGGCTGTCACTCTGCCGTTAGTTTTGAGCCCAATAAAATGTTGCACAGAGCAGTTTTGTTAATGTACAATGCAAAAGGTTCTTGCTGAATGACATGTTCCAGGTATCTTGTATTCTTCTTTCCAGGAAGGTGGAGCTGGAGCTGGGTAATACTGTTTCTGGTTTTGTAATGTGAATTTAGTTATAAATACAGATTTCTCGTTTAAAATCCATAGAGTGAAGGTGGGACATATGAAGCCTTTTTTGTTTGGTGTGGCATCTTACATCGTGAGAGCCCTTTTGCTTGATCCTATGTCTTGATCTTTACATCAGTGTAGATCTTTGCTTTACAGCCTGTTATTTTATACTGTGCAGTATAATAGGATGATAGCTGGTAAAATTAGCTGTGAAACAAGTCGTGTCTTACATGCAAGCGACTGTTGTTTTCATGCTCTTGAGTCTTCACACACTGTAGGAAAACTAATAGTGCAGAAGAGGGTGGTGTAATCCACACATGAAATAATACGATGTAAGAAGTAGTTTGCAAACATTTTTTGCTATTCTCTTTTATGTTGTATGGCCTTTTTAACACTGCATTCGAATGACTACTATATGTTAATATATATTATGGTCAAAACCACCCAATAAAAATTAGAAAGAACTTAAGAATTGCATCTTTCATGGTAACTGTGATGTCCTGGTTGTACTGAAGTCAATGGCGACAGTGCAGTTAACCTTATTGAGGCCATCATCTCACCCACTTTACCCAAATTTGAGTCTGAAATGGCCTTTGCTTTCTCTAAGTGAATGCAAGTGATGTTAGTAACCATTGCAATGTACCCTAACAGTACATTTCTTACACATTTCCAATGAGAGACCCTTTTGCTCCCTGCCTCAAAATATAGAGCTTTCACAAGCTGTAGGTGAAAGCATCTTTCAAAATTAGAGTGAAACAAAAGGAATAGAAGTATTTGGTAAATTTTGTCTGCTGTTATGTGCTTCTAGCCTGCTTCTCTTTCCTGTGCTCATTTTTCCTCTTCCTTTTTTCTCTTCTTTTCCACTTTTCATAATGTATTGGGTTTTCAGTGTGTACTCAGTTCTTCTTTCTTTTTTTAACTGTCACCCCATTCTTCTCTCCGCTCTGTTTTGGGTTATGTCTGTGGTTTTCCCCTGGCCCATCTTCTCACACTCTTCCCTGCTAGTTTCTGAGCTGCATCTCCTTCCACTCAGCTCTGTGAGCTAAACCATGGAGTCAAATTGACTAGAAATGCTGGCAGAGAGCACTTCAGAGAACAGTCTAGCTACTTCCCATCTGCTGTTAGTACACTCACAAATGGAGCAAAGAAAGTGGAAGCAACACATTCCAAAGAGAGCTGAAAATCCATGGCATGTTTTTAACCTCTGTAATAAGGCGAGTGAGCTTGAGATTTTTAAATACATGTTTTTCCTTATTCTACTTGGAGGATTTTAGCACCAATTTGGATCTATTTTTGATCAACTTGAAACTGTATGACTAAGTTACTGCAAAAGTTTGACAAGGAAATAGCTCATCAAAAGATGTTGCATTTTACTCTAGCTCCTATAACTGTAGTGTCTTTGGAGGAATGGCTTGCAAGCTCAATCCAAGAGTGGGTATACTTTCTTACTTGTGTGACTATGCTCAGTAAGCTGGCCTGACAAGAGTTTGTGGTGCATCTTTGGCATATGAGGAAGGACAGAGAGCTGCTAGACTGACCAGGAGCTGTTACTTAATCCAGAGAGCAGCTAGACTGGGCAGGAAGCCATGCTGGAGGGGTTTGATCAAGGTAGCAGCTGGACTGGGCCTGGCTAAAGGCCATACTGGAGAGGTTTGATCCAGAGAGCATCTGGACTCGTTCAGGAGATTCAGACGAATCTCTCCGTGATAGAGATGAACGGTCTGGTCAATAGAAATTAGATTCCAGTTTGCAGTGGGGTTTTGTTGCAGTATCCATGAGTACATCAGAAGGACAGAAGAGTTCCTTGTTGAAATAGATTGTACAAGGGTTAGTGAACTTTTGAATTGCGTGAGGCTACATTAGTATATTGATGCATAAAACTGGGAACAATCTATTGGTGCAGACTTCCCAAAGTATGATTCTCTTAAATTACCCTGATCATTTGAATGGCACTGCTGTGTTATTGACAGCAATGTCCTTTTCTGCATAAGAGTAAGAGGATGTGCGTGGATGTTTCCAGGAAAGAAAAAAGAAAAAAAAATCAAACCTGGTTGTTATCCTTCTTGATCTCTCACTATAAGTAATCTACACAATCTTGACAGTATCCAGCTAATCTTATCATGATTTCCTTTGCTGTTGGAGGCATATTTGTAACCAGACATCTCCTGAAAAATCTCTAAGGCCCTATTATTCTGTTGCCTCACCGTATTGAAAGATAATCTGTTCTTTTACTTTGAGTAATTCTTCTAAAAGGATAAAACTGCGAGATGAAAGGATGAAAAGCGAGGAATTGGATCAGACTGTCATAGATATTTAGGCAGCTATTATGCACAGCAGTGTTTAATTAGGTGGTGACCAGGCACCTAAAGTTCTCTGAAAATCTGTGTCTTAGTAAATAACCTTGAAGATCCTCTTACAGGACACTCCTTACCACTTCATCTTGTTAAGTGTTAAATAACTTGAGCAATGTGACTGCCCCTAGAGTGTGACGCCCAGTTTTTGTCTTGAATTTATTTCCCAGCCTGTTAGTAGGGTTTTCGTACTGAAAAAAAGGCCACTTTTAGTAAGATCTGTCTAATAGTCCCCAGATTTATTAATGAAATCAGTATCATTTACACTGCAATACTATGGTTTTCTGGCAAATTCTCATGTCTCTGCTTAATCCCACCCTCTCAATTTTTAAGCTGTAACTGCAAGTACAGCTTAAACTTTTTAAAGCCAACAGTACAACCAAATGAAGTAGTCTTACACTTTTCCCACCTTTAGACACTTGGTCTTCCCTTCCTCCCTCCTTCCCTTCTCAGCTGTGTTTGTGCCAGCATATTTGTTTCTGTAGTCACAGCATTAATAGCAAATCAGAAAGCTCAATACTGCTAGTGCTTATCAGGGGAAGGTGACAATAATAAGAGGAGATAGGTAGTCTTTTCTTTGTTATGAGGCTCAGGGTGTGCTACATTAAGCGTAGACAGAAATTCTAGCTCCTTTTGTACTGCTGAGAATATATAGCAGATAAATAATGCTAGCTCCTGCAGGGGAAGTGAAAATAATTTTCTGAAGCACTATTTATATATCCTTTACATACAAGTAACAGCAAGGCAGCAGTACCCTGAAGAACTGACCACCTCTGTTATTCTGTTTGTGTTGCCAGTTGCATTCACTTACTATTTCTGTAGCTTGCTCTGGTTTTGCATGTCCGAGGCAAGCACAGTGTAGAGACTGTTGGGGTAATTGAACAGTGGGAGGAAGTGATTGAGAAGCTATGAGTAAACAAGTTAGTATTAATACAGTGTTCCATAGTGTTGATTTCTCCAATTCCTCTCTTAGCAGGAGATCTTTATGAAGGCCTAGGAAATGAACAGCTATACTTAATTAACTATGCTACAGAGACCTGTACATTCTGTCTCCTGTCAAAATATTGCATTCGGGCACTCAGAAGGGAAAGAAGAGACAGGCTAATACCACAATTATGAACAGTAGCCTAGTGTATTGCACAAATAATTTGTTACAGTTTAGATTAGTCAGCAGTGGTGTCCACTTCACTAATTTTACTGCTGTCTTAGTGTTTTGTTCCTTCATTCCCAAGTGACGCATACAGACATATTTTAGGAGCACATTTTAAACACGTCTCATGTATTAGTTCTGTCTAAATGAATAGGTGTTCAGTCAAAAGCTGCTGCCAGGACATATTTATGTTCTGACAGTGGTGAAAGGTTTCCCAGACTTTCTGTTTACTTGGTCCAAGTGAAACTGCTCTGTCATTCTGTCTATCATGTGCTGTTGTAACATGATTTTAGTGTAAGTACCTTATTCTTTTCACTTTACCCACCATGAGGCTCTGAATGTTGCTTGTCATGTTACCTGCCATGCGGTTTACGGATTTGGTAAATAAAAAGTGTCTGATGTTATGCATAACTCTGGTGAATGCACTGGAGAGTCTTTCAAATAATTTAAAAATGCAACTTGTCTTAAAGACCTGAGTTAGCATTTCTTGGATAAACAAAACCTGCATGGGAACTTGAACAAGGATAGTAGGATCAGTCTCTTTCACAGTTACTGTGATTAATGTCTCAAGACAAATTCTTACTGCCGTGGTTTGATAAAGCCATTTTTATAGTCCATTTCACCAGGAATTTAAATTGTGTATTGCCTTATTAATCAAGGTGTTGTGAATTTTAAAAACATCACTATATTCTTATCTGAAGATTAATCTGAAAGAGCATCAAAGACAGAACACTTAAAAGCACCCTTCCTAGGGAAGTATGGATTACATTTTTTTAATAGTATTCAACTAACAGATGATGCGATTCAAATATAAATTAGTCTCTTCAAGAGAGAAATTAAGACAGAAGGTATTCACATTCTGGATAGCATTATTCAGTGCCCCTTTGGTAGAAAAATATGAATATGCAGTTTTGCATACAGCAGTTATCCATTTTAGCTGGAGATGCTCATCGGGAATATGTTCAGAGTTCCTGTGCTGCTTCAAACATACAAGAACAAGAAGCTATAAAAAAGAAAGAGCAACAAGTAGATCTGCTGGGAATGGAGTGTATAAAGCCAATGAGTGGGATTATCCCTTACTTTCAGTGTGGACTTATTAGGGAGGTGAAATTCTTGTTGCTTTCACTGCTGCCAGACAGTCCAGTTATGAGCTCTTTGAAAATCTCATCTCACATTCTTTCAGTTGTTTCCAGCTGATTTTATGGGAATTCTAGAGGAATGGTCTTTCAGTCTTGGGCTTATCTTTATGTTATGGTACAATATACAGCACTGTATTTCCTTTTTCCATCTGCCTTTTTTTTTTAATTTCCCTACCATTTATCTGTCTTATGCCCATCCCTTTTTCTACTCTGATAACTGTTTGGGATTGACTTTGGTTTTGTTTTTAAAAGGTTTCCCTTTTCTTTCCCTCCCTGCTTCCCCAGAATTCCATGGTAACTGATGTACCGCTCTGGTAATTCCCTGCACTAAGGCTCCCCATTGTCTCAGGACAGAATGCTACAGGAGTTCTCTATTTTTTATTCTAAAGGTGGATGTTATCCTTCTCTTAAAAGAATTTTACAGTTTAAAGATCTACTGTTTTCCTGAGAATAAGATATAGAATAAAAACATGCTGATAAATATGGCATGTGATCTTAATATACTGTAGATTTATTAAAGTACAGATGGTGTACTTTCTGAGTTCCTAGAATTACCATAGGAAGTATGTGGTCCTCAAGCTGTTTGTAATGATTAAAAAAAAAAACCTCTGTTTTTCAGATTTTGGCCAATGAGGTTGGCTTTGAGAACATCTAAACCCTAAGGGAAATGCAGCTGAAATTTCTCTGTATCATCAGTTTTATGAGTTCTACTCAACAGAATATAACATGGTTTCTACTTCAAGTTCTCATTTACCTTAATAGTTTGCAAAATTAGTTGAGTGTAGGCTGTTATGTGCACTGTTAGGCATATTATCTGATTTCATTGCAGAAGTTTTAACGCAGTTCTAAGTATTGAACAAAGACTGTCATCCGCTAGATCAGATGAATTCGTTTAGTGATAAATGTTGCCTAGCATAATTGTCCTAAGCGATCAGAAATTTAATCTGAGTCTGATGTCTGCACAACTCTGCCATAAATAATGCAATGGAAGTCTGGACTGCCCCTTGCACACCCCTTTTTATCTGAATGCAAAAAGATTTCACTCCTGAAGCAGAGGCCACTCTGCTTCAGAAATTTATAGATTTAACTTTTAATAGAATGAGTCATTGTTTTGCATTGTCTTGCACATAAAATGTCTTATTTTCATACCTTTTTCACCATATGAAAAGCATTGAGTAAATTTTGTGTGGAAATAGCCACAGAAGAAGCATTTCGGTTATCTACCATGTGTCTGCATTATATGAATAAACAATTTTGATTAAAATGCCTGTCTGGTTTTCCCTACAGTTGTGTCATTTTAACCAATCTTTACATGTGTCATGGAAAGGGAAGGAAAGACTCCTTGTTCCTTTTTTCTCCCCTTGATGGCTGTAAAAGTGATAGTGAGGATTTAATGACAAAACGTCAGGGATTTATTTTGCTTATTTTTTTTTCTCTGAATTCTTCCTTTTAGAATTTTTCAAGTCTTGAAAATGTGTGCATAAAAAAGCAATTACTTATAAAAAAACGAGGCAACTTGCTTGTGTTGATCTTACATATTTAAAAGGACTAAAAGTCTGTCGAGCAAAGCTTGTATTGGAGAGAATATTTATTCGTAGCTCCACAGACCTCAGGACATAAGTTATTAGGAAGCTGTAAGGGCATGGTAATGATTTTCTGCACCGAGTTGAAAGCCACTTCTGAAAGAATGTTGGTTCTCCACCGATGCCTGCAAATGCACCTCTCAATGAGCTGATCAGATCTAACGGCCTGCTCTGACTTGGTCATCCCAGCAAGCTTCGTGTGTTAAAGAAATTCTCCTCTGACCCTCTCAGGAGGACAGGGGCCACTTCTCAAGTCAGCATCCAACATCTTAGGTTTTAGTTATAATGAAAGACTTTTTCTTTTTTTATTTTTTAAGATGCTGTTTAGGCAGCTAAACTTTGCCTGTAGCCATTTCTCTTACTTTGAGCTGCAACTGCAGAATAATCATTTGAGGTTACTGAGTTAAAGAAGCAAGAGAGAGGAAACATGATTTAGTGCTAACCAAATTTGTTTGGTAACTGGAAAGGGCCTACCATGTTCTTCAGGGCCTACCAGAATCATTCAGACCAAGCTGCAATAAATCTGTGTGCGTAAATGGCATAGGCAGAATATTTGCTGGCACTTGCTGTGTGAGATCTGCTGAGTTGTTAGCTCTGAACTGTGTGCTCTGAGAGCCTTCTGCCATTTGTATGTCACTCCTTGAGAAGGAATTAAAAAAGGAGCTGCATACAAAGGCAGCCAAGGAGCTCTCAGTAGGCAGTGTGAGCTGTTACTATCAAGTCACTGCAGAACTGAAAGGACAGAGTCGTATGTTACGTTGTCTTACCGTTGCTCTCAAAAAGGGATGTACACACTGGATACTTCCTTAGGGGCACTAAGTGTATACTGGGAAAAAGTTCTTGATGGTGGAAGGAAAGGAAGAGAGCTCCTGTGAAGTGACTGATTCACTAGAACATTCGTATGCAGTGGAAAGATGGTTCATTCCTTTTCCTCCCATCAGCTATGAACGTGACAGTCAGTTCAGTAGCAAAATAAACAAGGATATGTTCTTCTCTTCTTCAGTCATTCTTCTCATTTGAAGTGTTTAAAAAGAGAAGGCTCAGGGGGGACCCTGTTGATACCTGAAGGGAGAGTTCAAAGAGGATGGATCCAATTTCTTCTTAGAGGTACTCAGTGACAGAACAGAGACAGTGGGCACCAACTGAAACACAGGAGGTTCCCTCTGAACATCGGGAAACACTTTTTCACTGTGAGAGTGACTGAGCACTGGTACAGGCTGCCCAGAGAGGTTGTGGAGTCCCCATGCTTGGAGATATCCAAAAGCCATCTGGACACAGTCCTGGGCCACTGTCTCTAGGTGGCCCTGCCTAAGCAGGAAGATCGGATCAGGTGACCTCCAGAGGTGCCTTCCAACCTTGGCCACTCTGTGGCTTGAAATGGCATCTTTCCCAAGTAAGGTCTTCAAAATCAGCTTGTCAGAAATCTTCTTCTAAGTGGTCTCCATGTTTTAACAGATGAAGGCAATGGAGTTTTGGTCCATTTCACTAAAAGCAGTGATGGTTCAGAAGCAGAGTGCATTGTGTACAAAGTAGAAAGACCCATTCTCTCTGTGTGTGAGTGCCTCTGTACTGAGATGTCTCAGTTCTCTGTTTCTAAGAACAGCATGAGTTCTGTTCTGTGCTGCAGCTCACACCCAGGAGTGAATGACGCAGCATCTCTGTCTTCTGCATTTCTACTTCTAGTTTGGACAAACAGGTTGCAACGTCCAAGTGCTCTGTAAATAGTGAATCAGTGGAAAGAACCAAAAAGGACAGGGAGGTGGCAGGGAGGAAGATGGTGAGGGGCAAGGAGAATAAAAATACCGGAGGAAAAATCTTAATGATAAATGGCAATCCACACAGCAGAAGGCTGATGGCAGAAGAGGGTGATTATATGAGATGGAACATAGATAGGGGGTGAACTGAGGTGAATGCAGTAAGACCTTGGTATCTTAGTCATTTACTAATTTACATCTCAGTCTTTTACCAGGGCTGCCAGAGCACAAGGACCACACAGGAGTTTGGTTAAAATAAGACAGGAATTAAAGATCAGTATCTGGCACTTGCCTTAGTTCCTTTTACAAATATTTACCCTCTCTGTGTAAATAAAGAATAAACAAGGCAGGAAGTATTACACTCAAGTCAGTAAGTTAAGGTCCAAGTACAAAGATCCACTTCACCTGTGGTGTTTTCTGTACATATTATATTGGCTCTGAACATTGCATTTCGTGAACAACTTTAGGAAATCACATCTGCTTAATATTTTACTAGTGAATATTTTAAATATCTTCAAAACATGATGTACAAGATGCTTCCATTTACTTTATTTTTTTTAAATTACATTTGCTGATTACAGTGTAAAGCACAAAATATAATTCCAACTATGAAATAGAGTTCTTTCAAAGAATTGAACATTTTGTAGCTCCTAGCAGCAAACTCCCCTTTTATAACAAAAGCTTCATAAAAGCAGTCAATAAGATTTGTTTGGTAATGTTTTCAGCTAAATCAACAGTTATTAATCTTATTGTCATAGCAAAGTAAATGTGACAGCATTGTTAGAATATGTTCTCTCTTTTAACATTTGTTGCTTTATCTCCTACTCCTCCCCCCTTTTTAACAGAACAACTGCTAATAAAAATGGAATTTACCAGTTTGAACAGGCTTCAAAATGTAAGGCAATTCAGGACAACATTTTGTCATCATCTATCAAGAAGAAAAGGTAGGTGTTTTCTGTGCTTTCTGCTTTGTTTGTTCTAAATTGAAGGATAAGAGATTGTCTTTTTTACGTAACTACTGATATATTAATCTGGAGCTATACAACAGGAAACTGAAATTGTTCAACAAATATTTTCCACATTTTTTCTTATACATGGATAAAATTTATTCAAGGTTGGATTTTATTTTTTTTTATTTTAACAACATAAGTCAACAAAATTTCTCCTTGTCAGTTAGCAACATTATATTCCAAATTATTCCCAAAAAGATTGAGTAGAATCTGTGAGGTCACTTTAGAAAGTGACGCTTTAGAGAGTGATAAGAATTTGAGCAGGGCTGATATCAAAGTTGGAGGTTTTTTCATGTAAGAAAAAGACAGAACAGCAAGTTGAAACCCAAAAAAATTTTCTGTTCTCTCTTCTCTTTCTCATTGCATTTAAAGATCTTTCACCTGTTTCTGTCACCGTACTTCCAGCATTCTCTCTTTACTGTTACTATTTCTCTATTTATTTCTCCTTTCTCCCCCCTCCACTCTCTATAATATCTTCTTCCATGAATATTTCACCTCATCAGCAACACTATCATTAACGTTTTTACTCTTTTGAAAGGTGGAACACCAGTATGTTAGTGAGAACTGAAACATAGACTGGCAAACAGAGGTCAAAGAATGCTGAAAACTTAAGTGTTTGACACCAAGATAAGAACAACCAGTCAGTGTATTGCCTTCAACATCCACTTAGCAATATATCAATGCTGTTGTTTACCCCACACATTGCAAAGATGTACAGGCTGCAACAATGGAGATGAGCTCTTCATATCGAGAGCATTTTGGAGCTGAGATCATAGCAGAAACTTTAGAAAGTGCAAGATGTTTATCCTGTGGCTAATGATAAAGGGACTGCACCATTTAATGAGGCAAAAGAGGAATTGGGAGCGAAGGAGCAAGGGATTGCTTTTTGCCACAAATATTGTAGCTATTGCCCTTCACTGAGAGGAGCTGTAGGGATCTTTGTTGCTTTTTCAAGGTGTGACCCACGGACATGGTATATAAATGCCCTATACTGCAGTTCTAGACTTTCAGGGATGTTCTGGACACTCTTGCCTCTTAAGATGGCAGAAAGGGAAAAAATTACTAGTTTAAAGGTTGTCAAATGATTTGATAGTAAAAAATGCTGTGTAAGTGGGAAGTTACTATAGCAGGTATGCGCTGGTGGTGATAAAAAGCCTGAAATAATGAGTTTGGCTGGCAATTTTCCATTTTTATTCTAGAGCAAGCGCTGTGCACACTGTCCTGAGGGTTTTTAAAACTGATGGTTTTTTTTGTTAGTAGTAAAGTGTCCAAAGGCAAAATGGATCCTCCCCTTCTCTTGCATATCCTGCCATTGTATTTCTTATTTGTTTTTTTTTCTTGAAGATAAGCTGCTAAGTAGGAATGTATCCTTTTTTCACTCCTGCTGCTCAGTCTTCCTTCTAATTCAAATAGTTTTTTAACAAGTAGGTGTTTAGTTTTAGCAAGTAACCAGTGGGGCTGCATCTGTCTCTCTCTTCTGACATTTTACCTGTTGTCTCCATACTATCCCAATGCTTCTGTCCCTGCTGTTGTCCAACAGATATCTGCCAAAAATCAGAAGATACTTATATTTTGTAATATTTTGTCATTTTTTGACTATGCATAATAATTCCACCTTAGCCACTGCACTTAATGTAGAAGGTCACTGTGTACCTGACAAATACTGCAGGCAACAAAAAAAAGTGGCTTCCAGATGTTATTTGTCAGTAAGGCTCATACAGTATAAGTTTTCTATGACAGGAAGTTATTATAATGGTTGTGGTGCAGGTGGCAAACAAAAACAGGACAAAACATGTTTCATTCACTATTCTCAGCACTGTAATAATTGTCTTGTCCAAGTATTTTTATAGTTCAATTTACCTAAGCCTTTTTATTTTAATAATAAAACCCTTTTAGCATCAGTGAATATGTGCTGTAGGCTCCTGGGTGTCAGTGGAAATATATGTATTGTCCCAGCTCTTTAAAATGGATCAGTGGAGAAAACGACTGTCTGGGTTACAGCAGAGCCATGAAATGATTCCCTGATGACCTTCTGGTCTGACTCCATTGGAGGAGTGAGTCCCCAAGGCTTCTTTAAAGCAGGAAGTGTTAAAATTGGCTTTCTGAGAAGAAAACAAAGCTTTCTGGGCTGTAAACCCAGCTGCAGCAAATCTCAGAGCTTCAATTTGGGTCTTTAAAAAATTATCTATAGGAATATTGTCTGTATTCAAGTAGAGTTCATTTCATGGAAGCCTCATACTGATGTGAGCAGATGCCTTGCAGAGCTGCCACAGTTGGGAGCTTCTGTCCCCCAGGACAGTGTGCTGGGATGTCTCTGCTCCCTGTAGCACTGTGCCAGCTGGCAAAGATGAGTTCTGACAGTCTGGAGTACCTTTGTAAGTCACAAGAAGAGCTAAACTGGATGCACAGGGGAGAGCAGTATTCTGACTTGTAAAGACCTGGAAGTGGTGCTTTTCTGGGTGAGCTGGCTAACCTCTGAGCAGGAGTCATTCCATCCAGCAGACAGCAGTGGAAAAGCTGCAGTGTTCTTGCCTTTATAATTGATGTTCTTACCCTGTGTGCATCTTCTGTTATATGTGTAAGAAGGTCCTTAGTTTCTGACAGTGAGTGCCTGTGTTTCCCATGAGCCATCAGAACCAGCATTATGGATGATGTTTTCATTTTTCTCCTTACCAAATGTTTCCCTGCAACTTGCTAATAACTTGTCAGTCCATGAAATTTCTTTCTGAGCTGATGGTAATTTTTCTTTTAATTTCTGACTCTGATCTTCATCTTATCAATGTCTGTAGGCTAGACTTTGTTTTTTCTATATTTTTTTTCTCCTGGATGATGATAGCCTAAGTAACTCTTCATGCTCTGTTATCCTGGTTATTTTTGGAATTTCTTCATAAGTCCCAGCACCTAAGAGTTATTTGTTGTTTAGCCTTAAGGAATAAAACTAGATGAGTGATTCAACATCAGAATAGGCTATTTTGGTCCTGTGCTTTTATCTCATCCTCCCCCCATATGCACTCCCTGCCCTGGCCTGTGCTGGTACTGACACTTCTCTGACCTCATGGTGAGTCAATTGAGGTAGCAGCTTCAGCAGGAAAGTAGTTCCATTTTCTCTGGCTGCAGTTCCAAGGCTGATAATGCGGCATACCAGCAGGCAGCTGCCAAAATAGGAGGGTCTTCTTCCCAGTTTTTCCACTCCCATTACTTGTTGCTTATACTGGCTGTGGTGTTTGATGGAACCTCTCTTGATCTGGTTTAACACAATGACTAAGAAGAAAATGTATATGCATATTTTTTTCCTTCTATTTTTTTTTTTTGGTTGGTGGGTGAGTTGGTTGGTTGTTTTTGCTGTGGTAGTAAGTTAAAGTGGCCTATGGAAGCATTTGGCAAGTGCAAAAACTGGCCAAAGGGAAACAGAGGTGGAGTCAAGTAAGTACCAGCTGTGACACAAGGGAGAGAACTGATTTGGAGTTGGATTGGAAAGAGGAAGAATGTACTGCACCAGGTCAGATGAGCTACAGCTGCAATGAAACTAGTTTGCTCTTCTCCCGCTTCTGCCCAGTCATTCCTCCTGAGTTGTGCAAGGGCTCAGTAAAATCAGTTTAGTCATAATCATCTAGTTCCTATAAGAGTTTTCTAAGTGTGGAGGATGAAAATCACACATGTTGTCACAGATGCAAACTTGAGCCAGAGACCAGTTCTAATGCAGTGTAATTTATTTTATTATATTCATATAATTTATTATATTGTACTCTTAACAGTATCATTTATTTTTCCAAATTGGATATGATTTTGCTCAGGGGTAGTTACCTTTAGCAGTTACCTTTAGCAGTTGCAGTACTTTTATGAAGGAAACAAAAAAAGAGTTCTGTTTTTTTCAAATGTTGAACACAGAGAGGGAGGGAAGCTTTCAGATCACTGACCTGTGCTGCTGCAAGCCACCACAGTCTTCCTTTTTATCAATTCTCATGCTCCATTTAAAAACAAGCAGGGTTTCTTGCCATCCCAGGTCTTGTAAAACTGTTCGCAATACAGACTTGTAAGTTCCAGCTTAAATACAGTAGTGATCATCTGGGTTTGGGCCAACACTATGCTATTTTTGCTAAAATAATACATGGTAGATATTTTATGGAGAGCTGAGTACCACAGAATTCTTATTCATGGCATCCATACCATCTCTTCTTCTCATTCCCCCAGTCCTCTTTATAAGTCAGTTATTGTTTTTTACAAACCGTATTATGAGCCAAGCACAAATGGGAGAATTAGTAACATTGAACCTGAAAGGAAAAAATGTATCCAATCTTTTGACTTATGTGTTATAAAGTATTTCACTTAGGGACAAATTTAAATCTCTTGAAAGGTTTAAAAGGAGCAGAGAGCTCTTTGGTTACATGTAGCAATGTACATTGCTACACGTGCTGGTTGACTTAAAATAGCAGATTGTTTTATTTAATAATAATTTAAAGGAAAACTTCCATCTGTAAATATTGGTCTATAGTTTTAGATGATTGAATTGAGCTTTGGGGACTCTTATAAAGTAAATGAAAGAAAAAGCATAAGAAGTGTGATGTTTCATCTTGACTTGCAAGAGCCACTTTTCAAAACATTTTTGAAATTTAAACCACCGAGTACAAGAGTGTTTTGTATTATTTTGAGCTTTTGCACTTGAGATGATTTTTAATAACTTCAAGACATTTATGGTTAATTACTTAAGTTTGAAACCAGTGTACTTTTGAAAGTTTCTGAAAAGAGAAGTTCATTAGGACATCACTACTAAGAAGAGATGTTTAATAGGTCATGCTAATTAAATGAGGATAGTACTGTTAAAAATTACAAAAATAAAATAGGTCATGGAGTTCTAAAAGCAATCTATTATATATGCACCATGCACATTATTATTAATGCATGCATCATTTGAATGTTTTAGAGACTGCTTCTAAATATACATACATATAAATTCTACTGTTTGATGTTGTTTCCTTTTTTAGATATTCGGAAGATTATTATCTTCACATAGTTACAAAACTGCAGAACTGCACCTGGATAAGGAGACCAGAAGAATCTACAAAATTCAGGTAATTTTCATTGACTTATGTAGAAAAACTGTTTAACCTAGACTTTTCTAACAAGCCATAAATTTAAATCTTCCCTTTTAAACAGATAATTTTGTATTGCTTTTACTAATTTCTATGATTCTTTTGATGCTGGGGCTCTTCTTGTTTGTTGGAATAGAACTGTGCAAACTGAGTAGAAGAACTACATAAATGAAGCAATATCACCTATCTTCGCTACTCAAGTAGAATGGATTAAAATATTCCTGGCACAAAACCTTCAATGTTAGAAAAACTCCAAACAATAATGTTATTTTGTCCATCTGATATAGCACTCTGGTAAAACACTATGTAATAAAGCAGTGTATTTTTTACCCCAAGACTATTCCTTCTATCACAGAAGTGCCCAAGGCACTCATTAGGTTTGATGCTGCATGTCATGGCCCCTGAGCACCTCAGCACATGGTTACATCTGTCCTTGTTTGGGGTGGCATATAAGTACATGCTCAGTAGGAACAGTGATCCCTGAAAAGCTTAAACTCTCATTCGGAAATGCTGATTTTAAAGAACAGCTTCACTGTGCCATCCCTATTTTCTCCAGGGGAAAAATCTCAATTATATTATTACATGAGTCAGATTTAAAGATTCTGTTATAATCTTTAAAAATCAATGAACTGACCTACCTTCCAACTCTTTAGAGTTAACTAGCATTAAGAACTTAATATCCCCATGCTCAGCAAGATACCTTTAGAAGAAGTAGTTTGGGGGGGTGGGAGCAGGATAAAGGATAACATAAATTGTAACATAAATTGCTGTGTTTCCTGTGTATCATAACTGACTAATAGTGTTTCCCAAAGCTGAGGTAGGGGTATACACAAATTTAAGGTTTTAGAAACCTTGTGTTGACTCAGGCAGGCTTTAGCTGTGCACAAGGATATCAGAGCATGATAAGGAGCTGTAAAGCAGCCCATTCTGTTTCAGAATGGACAAACGTCTTGCACAGAGTTGACAGAAGGTGAAGCTGCTCTCATCTGCTCATCACCCTCCTACATTTAGGCTTTTTGTTTTCCAATCTCTTTTTTACTTCTCTTCCTTCCAAACAGACCAGCCACCATGTACCAGCAATTTGCTACTGCTTCTGTTGTTCTGGATGTATGAATCAATGGCAGAGTAGCCACTCCTTGGTCCAGCTGGACCTCTTCATTTATTGCTTCTGCAATATCCCTTCCACTGTGCTGACTTCTACATCTTCTAGGCCTACTGGAATCAAACATCCAAACCATCATATAAGACTGTTGGATTTGAAGTACAAGATGCTTACTGTTCCTCCTGTTGTCTTTGGCTTCCAGCAAGGAGTGTGGGTCATGAGTAGTGAAGATGGGTTATACAACCAGTGATCAAACTGGAAATATTCAAAAGTGGAAACTGTGGGCTGCAGTAAGCCACCGAAAAAATGTGGACTGTATGTACATTGAGGTGATCTTTCTAGCTTTAACTTAGCTCAAATACCAAGCAAAAAACCGTATTTTTAAATCCATGGTTCTGCACAGGCTGGACAAACTTGTTACTGATTCCACATTCCAGGGCTGTGCTGTTATGGTTTCCTTGGGTTTTAACATCCAAATTAGCTAGAGTGTTAGCTAGGTCATAGATACACAACCCATGCTGCAATTCTGATGACAGTACTGTATATTCTTCTGTTCCTGAAATCTGATCTGATTTGATGTCATCCAAGAATTCCATTGGTAGGACCAAGGACTGGTACTTTTGTGTAGGGCATTATGGATGATTGTTTTACAAAAGATGGATACTTTTGCATAGGTATTTTCTTTCTTTTTCTGTCCTCAAACTCTTTGCTGTTGTTTTGTGGAAATAGGATATTAAAATTTTACAGTTCTCCTTCATCCCAGACCATACTGGAGACTTTCAAGGCTCTTAGCAGTTGGTCAATAGAGGCTTTAAAACAAAGGTTTAAAAAATAGAAACATTTAAAATTTACTGTCTAAATCTGTATACAGTCCATGCTTACAGCATTCCCAAACGTATTTATCACACTTAAGCCCAAGAGCCTGGAACTAGGTTTGCAAGGACACTTTGGATGAGAAATGATGCATTGACAGAGCTCTGTGGGGAACAAAGTTTCTAGAATTGTGGTGAAATAAATGAATTAATAATCCACGGGAAGTACATCTCTTTCTAACTTACCCTCCTGTTAGTAATAGCTGTATAATGCAAATATTATACAGTTCTAAAAATTTCATTAAGTAGGTAGATAAACACACCCATTTTCAGAAGAGGAAATTAATCTCAGAGGGGCTGTGCAGCAGGGATCGGGTACTACAGCCAGCCTCCTTTTGGAGGGGGACTTGAAGCTGTCTGTGTCACATTAGTCACCTGCCAGTGCCACCAGAAGTCTGCCTGCTGACTAGACTGCAGAGAAGCTGCTTGACTTCTTTTCCTGTTTGCCCATCTGTTAAATGGAGTGAATACTTAGATGCTTCTCGGGCATGGTGTCAATTTTATGACATCTCTCTATTATCCTGAAGTTCTGAAGGACACACATGCATATTTATAAGGGATTTAATGTCTTATGCTTCTGGGCATAAACTAACCTCTAATTAATAAGGTTCAAGAGCAGCTTCTCCTGGGGTAGCCAATTTTTCAGAGAAGCTTTCCTGTGTTTTCCTTTGCAGCTTTTGGCTGCCATCACACTGCTGGTGGAGTGAAGGAATATGTGATCTAAGCCAGTAACTCTTATGTTCCTAGAAGACAGCACGGTGTGCCAATGAGTACACATCCATTCTCTTTGTAAATTGCTCTCCCAGCAGATCCAGGCCAAATAAAAGAATATGAATTAGAAGTGCAGTGCAGGAAAGAAATACTTGTCTTTTTATTTGGCAAATGTGTTACAGCTGACAGGCGTGCCTCGCCCAAAGTACAGTGGTTTTGCCAACTCACTGTTGGAGAGAAGAGTGCTGGATCCTAGGTCGACCCTCTACTACTTTTATCATGCAGCTGTGCAAACTGTGTCCATTTTTTGTCAGAGAGCTGGCCTTTTCCAAATGGCTTCCTCCAAAGCTGTTCTGCTCTGCAGGTGGCTAGATTACTGTCTGGCAATGGTCAGTGGTTCTTGACAGCTACGTGATGTTTACACATGCATTTCTCAAAATCAAGAAGAACCAGGAGGCAAGTACAAACCATGATGTTCTCTTTGATAACTCTCATATCCACGGGCACTCTTCTCTGGTTGATTTTTGTCCAGTCTCTGTCAGGAAACCAATACCCTGGCCCTTCAGTTTAGTGTCTGTAATAGCGACATCAGCATTGCCAGATTTAGGCTACCCTCAGAGGAGCAAGTGCAAGCACTTGGTTCATTGCTCTTGAAATCTAGTTAAGATTTATTGTGCCCCACAGTAGCATCTGTTAGTCATTGCTAAAGAGGTTTTATCTAGCTTCACAATAGAAGCTAGTAAAGGTGATGTACCGGAAGTGGTGTAAATAGCATCCTACTAACTGTGATTTAGGGAAAATCTTCTCCAACATTTACTGGTAGGGACATATAGAAAACTATTTTTTTATTCAGACTTTCTCTTTATGAAATTCACTTTCTTTTGTTCTTTTTTAAAATTTTTTTCTTATTCTTTATGGCTCTACACATCTCCACATTATGCATTTGTTTCTAAGTCAACCTCAAGTCCAGTCTTCCTCCCTTTTCAATTTTACATCAACTCTAACTTGTATTAGACAGAGCAAGCCCTTGGATTTCTTGGTTCTAAGAGAGAAACTTGGTAGAAACTTGGAAAGGTAGGGGAAATAAGCTCACAGCTGCCTGGAAGTGTCATCCTTAAAACTCCAGGAAAAAAAGCCATGCTGGGTAGCTTCCTCTGCAAAGGCTCTTCTAGCCACACTCAGTAGAGTCTCAGGTTCCCTAGGTAACCTGAATATTAATTATTATATTAGTATTCTTCAAAGGTTTTCCACTTAAAAGAAATGTTTCATTAGGGTAACAAATTACAGAGCACGATTAGGTGCAAGCTGTAATCGTCTTTTACACCTCACATCTCTTTGCTTTACAGACTTTTAATCTACAGGTTTTTAAAACAGTTGTGACTCCCGTTTTTGCAGAAAGCTACAAAGAGTTAAAACAGCCCTCAAAATGAGGAAGGATATGGAGAAAGAAAGGCTGTGCAGATGCTGTGTTTCAGAGAAGCCTCTGGGCATTGTATTTCTGGGCTATCTCCCTGAGCTTGAAGCCTGGCAAAGCAATGCAACAGTTCCTCAGGAGTGGTATCACACTGGAATAGCCTTGTGTGAACTGTGGGTACTTGGCCCTCTCCCCGGGAAAGACCACTCCAGGCAAACCTTATTTGCATCTGATAATGAAGGGAGAAGGAAATTCCTAGATGTAAAATACAATTGTAAAATTCCTGATGTTACACTGCAGTTTAGCTGGCACACTGCTTCCCTCTACCCTCACGCAAATATTTTTTACTTTTTTTAAAAAGAAAGAACTTTACTACTTTCAAAAAAAGAACTCAGACTCTTAAAAAGACTAGTTAAAAGATCAACCCATTTTCTTAGTCCTGTTATTTTTCCTCTTGCTTTTTGTTCCTCTTGACCTCTATTACCCTTTTCCCACTTCAATATCTCTTCTCAAAAGTGTGTGTTAAACATTCCTGCAGATTAAAAAAACCCCAATCCTTCTTGAAGAGATTAATTTGTCGCAAGCTATACTCTAACCTATATAACAGTATTGCTTATCACATCTGTGTACTGCCATGAACCCCAGTTGAAATACAAATAAAATACCCTGCAAGGTCAATTTATGCTTACATAAGCTCACACCACCACATAATCAATAGCTTTCCTAACACTAAACAGATCAATAATTCCACTGTAATCTCTGAAATCTTCCAGTATACAAGCATATACAGAACTCTGAGACTATAGTGTGGTTTAAAAGTACATTTGCTGCACAGGTTTAATAGATCATATAAAACAATGATTATATATTCAAAGACATA